GGGGGGGGGGGGGGGTTGGAGAGGCTCGAAAAACAAGTCATCTGTGTTGCAATTTGTAAGTAAGAAAAAAGGAGTACACCAGCAATTCTAACTTCAAAATTTAACAATCCTTATACGAATTTATATGAAATGAATTTAGTTTACATAAGGAAAAAAGTATAAGTAAAACACTAAAGAAGATAAAGCTAATGAACTTACGATTATTATTTTAAAAAAGAAAAACGAAGTTAAAAGTATTATGGTTAGGATTATTATTCTTGTATTTATAAAAAGGTTTGTTATGTTCCCTTACATGTCCATTCATTAAACGTTAAGGAAAAAAAAGTAATTAATATGTTTCGTTTCTTCAGTTTCCTAGAATTTTTATTATTAAATCAAGATGAACACGCTCCATTTCGAATACATTCAGTAGCGAAATTTACCAGGAAAAAGAAAACTAAACTAAATTGAGGAAAAATCATTGAAAATGGTTTGCGGGGAATGAAATTTCGAATCTTTATTTCATGGAAAATTCATACAAATAAATTTATGTTTAATTTTAATTTTAAATTAAATTTATTTAAAGTTTATTTAATTTATTTATTTATTTAATTAATTTATTTATATTAATATTAATTTATTTAATTAAATTATTAAATTTACTTAAATCTTATTAATTTAAATTTAAAATAAAAATTATGTTAAATTTTAAATATGTTTCGTTTTTCCAGTTTCCCAGAATTTTTATTATTAAATCAAGACGAATACGCTCCATTTCGAATACTTTCAGTAGCAAAATTTACCAGGAAAAAGAAAACTAAACTAAATTGAGGATAAATTATTGAAAATGGTTTGCGGGGAATGAAATTTCGAATCTTTATTTCATGAAAAATTCCTACAATTTTGAAATAATGTTTTTCTTGATTATCTTCGTGAAAGAACAAAAATTTAGCACAGTGCACAAAACAAAAACAAAAAAACGCCTCAATAACCTTTAATCTAATGACTTTACAAATAATAATTAATCGAAGAACTAGCTTAAAATATGCTAAAATATTGACAAAAAAAATCCAATTAATCAGAATACTTTAGAGATAAAAAAAGTTTTCGATACCATTAGGTGTGAAAAATTTTTGAAATTAATAAAATGTACAAACTTTCAACCGTACTGTTACGTAAACTACTAAAACCATATTTTCCAGATTGCGGCTACCCTGCATATTTTGAAGGTCAAGAATCCGAAACCGTCGTAAAATGCTATGTTTATTCACGTAAATGTTTTTATATCTGATTTCTTAACTTAAAATATCGGTTGCACAAATGTTATAGCATCTTTAACATTATCTCCTTAAATCGCTTAGACTAGAAATTATAAGTAATTATATAATCTACTAAAATCAGTGGCGCAAACAGCGCATGAAGGGCCAAAGCCTGCTGTGCCCTTCCCATTCTTCTGAACCTTTTTCTCTGATCTACAGACGCAGATGTTCCGGTTTAGTGGTCCGCTGAAAGCAGACCCACACTGTTTCGTCTCCAATCACGCTTGGTACTCATTTTATCAACCAGGAGGAATGACAGGCCGAGTCAACCTCTGAGTGGAGGATAGAACCCAGAACCTGCGTCACAGAAACGCTATTCAATCACCGGGAGTTAAAATGTATTCATTGGATCAAAAATGATCTAAATTTCATTTACGCACTATACATAATCAAAAAATTTTCAATTAAAACAATTTTTGAGAAATTACACGAAGACAAAAATAAATGGTAGCAATTGAGCTTCCAGAACATTTCCCTTTACCACAAAATTAAAATACAGAGTATATTACATTTTCTGCTACTTTATTATTTAAAATATATGCAAGGAGCAGAGTAACAACTATTTAGATATATTGTTATTGTTGTTTCCAATGTCACTTACCACACTAGCAAGCCTGCTTGGTGAAACCGAGCAAATTTAAGGCAGAGGGAGCGTTTCTTGTTTTTCAGTGGCGCCATCTATGGCCAAGAATTCGTCTTCAGCCACACACACGTCACATCCGTTTATAGCACGGACCCATTCATGCATCCATTCATTCATCCACAGATCATAATTTTTGACCTGAATCAGAGAACGATCGATCTCCAATCCAGTACCACCAAAGGTATTGATTTGTTATGGGAACATGGAGGACTTTGTGACTCGACATATATAACCTGCATCAGTCACCATTTACTACACGAGGAGTCTTCGGCCGGCTGGGTTCGAACCCACGAACTCTCGGACATGAACCCAGCTCCCTACTAACCAGGCTATCCCGGCCAATTATAGATTTACGAAATAAGAAAATGTTCTAAAATTAGTTATCCCATGGCTAACTGTGTAAAAAAAAATTTCTTCATTAGATTTATATTTTTAAAGTGTGCTTCGCAACAAAAATATACCAGTTTACTTAGAATATTGAAGAAGAAAAAAGAATATAAGATATTTTTTTTTAAAAAAACATTCTTTTACTTTTTACAAAATATTAAGGTCGAAGCTTCTTAAGAAAGTAAAACATTTCACAAAACAGATTTGATCCAAAAAAATTAAAATCGTAGGGTGGGTCTTTTATGAATTTTATAGGTTAATATAACATATTTTTCAATAGCATTGCAACTAATCAGAGATCGTTGGATGAAAGAATGAAGCAATTTCAAAATCTAGGCGTGAAGCTGTTAAAATATCAACATACTTTGCATACATTCATTGATTCGTTATTGACATTGTTTGAACGTCGAAAATTGAAAAGACGAAGCAACAGCCATTAACAGAAAAGAAAAAGAAAATGGGAATGAATAGTCTGAGAATT